GTAGGGTGGTGGCCCTCAGGGCAGCTCTTGCCCAACACCTTCGGCCCTGAAAACTGCCCAGGCTCGTCGACGGCAGGACCGCGGTAGCAGCCGAAGGCCTGTATGCTGACTAGGGCTTATAGGGCTTAGGGTTTAGGGACTAGGCTTAGGGTTCAAGGATTAGGGTCCAGGGTTTCGGGGTCAGGGTTAAGTCACTTCTGCGAGGTGCAGCCCTAGCGACATGAAAACAAGGCCCCTGCACCCTAATTCTCAACCTGAATCTGCTGGACATTCGCCTTCTCCGTGCTATCAACTGATTGCATGCGACCATGACCCTAAACCCCAAACCCCAAACACCAAACCCTAAACCCTAAACCCTAAACCCTAAATGCGTCCTCGCGTGTTTCTGACTGCCGCCGCTCGCCTCACGTGGCAGGGCCTCCTCACCGATTCCATGTATGCGGCCGAACTACGAACGAAGTTAGGAAGTTTGAAGTATTCTATAATCAGACCAAGAGTATCTGAATAAGCAGGTATGAAACGCATTACGTAGTTGGCATACAGACTGCTCACAATCACTCTTCGGTGCCTAGCTCGACTGGCCGCGGCAGGGTTCAGCTGATGAGCTTGTTGGCTTATGGATCCGAAGCTCCAAGTACCGAGGAATAAACGGGTCCTTCCCTACGAGCAGCCACTGCTGTGCGAGGTAGAACCTCTTTGCTGAATTGTCCAAGCAGTGCAAACGTTGATATCTGCAATTTGCCAGAAATCCGCTGTAAGCTAGATCATGCTTGAACCGTTTTTGATCAGAGGCTGCACTGGTCTCCATGGCCGTGCGCAACATTCTAGGCGAAGCTGTGCAAGCAATCAAAACCTGCCGAATTTGCCTCACAGCCTGCGCTAGCTGCTGAATCAAGCCCGATCGAAGTTTGTGTCAAGGTATGTCAGGTGGGAGTGGGTGGGGCCGCCCGCTCACTCTCAACATGTCGAAGCTTCAAGACGCGATTGTCAAACGCCAGGATGCAGCCTCGTGAAGCTTGCGAAAGTCGATGCCAGAATCACCATGACCAAACACACGCAAGCCGCAAGCCTAAACCTCAATGGGCCCAGAAGAACCGCTCTCGAAGGGACCCTCTGGTCAGAGCAGGGGGGACATGCTGCAATGATGGATTCCACCGGGATAATTCGGGAAGATGGGAACACGGGAACGTACGGGAACACTATTAGCCTGGTGCTGGTGCAGGGACACGCACAAGTGGATGTAAATCTATCACGTCTTTGTGTGGACAATGCTTTGTGCAGTGCTTTCTGCTTATTGCGAAAAGGCCGCTGTGTGCATTCGCCAAAGTGGCGACGCCTCCTCGAGGCAGCGGCGGCCGGTGGCAGCGTGGAGCTCTCGCGAGAGAGGGGGGCGACTCGTGCACAGCGGAGTCTTAACCCAGAGCAGGTCCGGAAGTGGATGTGTTTGCTTTGGGGTGCAGCATGCTATCGTGCAGAACGATTGAAGCAGAACTTGAGATGGGGGATTACGTGTAGCCGTTAATCGCTGGAGACAGGGCCAGTTCTTGCTGTAAAAGCTTGAGCAACGACAAGATCTTGTTGCCAGACCCAAGACCTGACCAGCTCGCCTGCCTGGCTTTGTCGCCAAGTTGACAAACGGCGGCAAGCTAGGTGCGGCATCTACTTGACCGTATTGTTGGGCAGGAACCAGGTTTTCTGCAGGTGCGGACATCCTGCACTGGCGCGCTTATGCCAAGCAACAACGGGCTTGGCGCACTGCGGCAACTTCATCGCCACATCTTGCGAGTGAAACATGTGAAACAGGAATTCCCGCTGCGCCATTCACTTTGAACCGCCTCGCTAGCACAGCTTCGATCATGCTGCCAGCCCCGAGCAGACCTCCCTTCTGACCACATAATCCCCGAGCCCCGAGCCTCAGCGGCTGTCCGCCTTTTGGACGGAGGCGCAAGTCCCGGCATGAGCGTTTCTGAGGTACAATGCAGGAGCGACCCCCGGCAGTGGGCTGATGCTGCAGGCTGGCAGGCGGTCCCGGTGCCGGCCAAACGCAGTACAGGAGTCAGGAAGCCGACAGCCTGCGCACCACGACATGAAGAGGCCCTGCAGTAGGCCCTGCAAGGCACTTAAAGCCACGCTGCAGTGGCTGGGCTGGGCCTCCGGTGGAGGCGCCTGGTGCGTTGCCGCAATCTCCCCATTCACCTGGCAGCAGGCCTCCGCAAGCTCAAGAAGCTCCAGCGCAGGAAGACTCGGCAGCGGCACGGCCACTCTGATCAGCGCGCCGCCCTCACGATTGCACCTCTGCAAAGGCGGAGAGTGCAACCGCAAGCAAGAGATGATCAGCAAACCCCCTTCCGCGGTGCGTTTTGGCTCGCACGGAGGCCGAGCTTCGGCCCAACGGCGCTCAGGGTGAGACCCGGAAGTCAAAGGACGAAAAGTCGCTCAAACTGCTCAGGGCTGCGGCGGGGGCGTTTGTGGTGGGGGCGTCTCTCCAACCTGGAGCTCCGCGTTCATGAGCACGGAATGGACCACCTGCATGGTGGACAGCACCGTTTATGAAGATCAAACAAATTCAGGAATGTTGACTTGAGAGTCTTGAGAGGTTTGTTGGTCTAAATAGTCCGAATATTGCCTCTCGTGCTATGTCGGCGGCGACTTCTGCCACGCGCTCTGCATGTAGGGCCAAAGACAGGAACACCGGCGAACCGGGACGTTGCTGGCCACCAGCACCGCTCACTGCA